TTTTGGAAGGACAGCTTTATTCAACATAACTATGTATTTAGTATTTATTTAACGCTCAGGAGTAGAGAAAATTTTCAAAGAAGTAATGCATTTTCACTATAATATTCTATTTAGCCCCGCCCTAGCACTAGAACCCCTGACCCAAGAGCCATAACTTTCACAATTTTGGTAAGAGGACTCAATGCTAATTGCAGTCCGTTCAAATAGGTTTACTCAGGTGACTTAAAAAACTTGAGTGAGCTGCAGGAATTCGCCTCTGGCTAATCAAAATGACAAAATTTTCAGTCCTTTCATTAGAACTTAATGTCCAAAAATGGATAGTCTGTGATCATTGTCACCTACATATTAATTTGCCACACCCCGTGGATCCAGATTCTCTGTCTCTTCTCAATATACGTGAAAGATTTTCGGGTTATTAAGCTAAGTCTAACTTGGGTCATGGTTGACGGCAGACACGATTTGATGCGGCATAGTGAACATTCTTTCGTTTGTGCCATTTGTTGCTGGTATTACAGTGGGGAAATTAATTACAACTGAAATTTCGCTTTATAGTAATATGCCTTCTAATCTGTTTGATTGATTGGTTCGAATCCCACTGTGGGACGTGGAGACCAGTCCTTCAGACGGTCTGTCTAAACCGAGGTCCCGTGTCGCAGTAAGTGCTGGCACGAAAAACATCCCTCGGATCACTGTTCCATGGCCCCGAGTGTCGAGTCTAGGACAAAAGAAAAGATAGGGTAATGGCCAAAACTGGTCACTTGTGATATAAAAATCAGAACACTGGTAAAATTGTGATAGTTTGTAGTTAAGAAGTTAAAATGATGCTTACTTTGAAACAAGGACTACTTTAAATTCAAAACTTACATGGAAGCCACTAGAGGGTGCAGAAGTAGGACATTTTCCAGAATTTCCTCAATTCAGGTGGAATTTCATCATATTTGAGATACTTTTCTCTTCGGAAAACAGAGCACAAGCTTGCCTATCTGAGATTTTTACACATAACTGCATCTGATACTAGTGTATAAAATATATAAATTTGGTACAAAATGTGCTGTAAAATCGTTGAAAATTTGCATTAAAATGGGAAAATTCGAAAATTGACCTATTTCCTCACCTCTCTGTGACCTCTGTATATTCTTAGAGTCAATCTTCATTTTGTGACAGGGATGACAGCAGCTTTTTATGGATAAACTGTTGGATCATTCTGAAAGACACCCAAAATCGGGGGCCAAATAAGGTTCTTACCCTATCTTGTCCTTTGTAGCTCTCCATCGAAAAGTGGTGGCGTCTCAATATGAGTAAAAAATTCTTGAGAGGGACGTTAAACAACATACAATCAATCTTAGAGATTCTACAGTTTTTGTTTGTCTAATGGGTTTGCTAAGAGTATCGCTAGGGTCGTGATCGCATGGATCACTTTGTTATTTCACTCGTTACGTCAAGGGCATCTCGCATAATTGTAGATGCTTGAACAGCATCAGAACACTTCAAGTTAAGAACATTACCAAACAGTGCGAATTAAGAACTTTTATAATTCCACTCTTTGACCCTGCCATTGAGGCAGCCATAACATAACGTGTACTCCGTAAGTTATTAAAAGGAATATTGAACCTGGTCAAAATAGAAGTGATTGTAGAAAAGATCGTATCAGCTTTAATGTCGTCTTCTTCATAAAAGCCAACAAAAATTTGCTGTGGCACAAATTGGTTATCGATGTATCGGAGGCAAATAACGAGCTGTTCTCTATTAGAAATGCTAATACTCTCCTCAGCCATTATGGATAGAAATTTGACATTCTTTAAATCTCTCATATTTCTCAGAACATGATTCGCCATGACTTTAGGTGTGTCCATTTGAAATTGTACTGAACTGTGTTTATTTAGTTTTTTCTCTGAATCCATGTCTGCAAAACAGGATCACTCTGTCTACAGTTTAACCAACTCGTGAAAATTAGAACTCTCATGTTTCCCCCTGATAGGAATATTTTTTACTAGATATCTTCAACTCCCACGTATTTTCAGGAAACAATCTCTGTTGTCTTTTTTCTGTTGCGAGTGTTGTTTACTGAGAGATTCGCCAACATCCTTCAATACCTTTGGATTTATTGATAGTATATTGTTTCACGGCCCTCTCGAAAATTTTTCACTCGTATGGAGACGCCACCACTTGCCGGTGGAGAGCTGCAAATTTTATCCTGTACTCGGCACGTAGGGCCATTGAGCAGGGAAAGATCTTTTTCGTGCCAGCACCTTCTGTGACACGGGACATCGGTTTATACGGTCTAATCCGAAGGATCGGCCTCCACGTCTCACAGTGGGATTCGAACCCGCGACGTAAGGACAGGACTCTTACTGTGCGATTCTGAAGCAGACGTCCTACCAATTGAGCCACGCGGATCTCTCAACTGCTTCTCTGTGACACTTGCTGTCGGCATGCTTCTCTAAGCGCATTGTAGCTTTCTTCCAATTACGGAATCCCAATGACAAAAATGACTTCTCTTTATGATTGAAGAACATATAAATACACCAACCACCCTTGTAAGCTTGTCACAGCAAAACAACAAAATGCTGCATCTAATGACACATCTTAGTGAAGCCATTTCCATTTCTTGTACCAAGATCCCTGAAAAGATCCCCCCTAAACTTGATAAGAGAAATTTGAATTTAGTGAGTTAAAAAGATTTTTATATCAGGTGTAGGCCATCTGACAGAATGTTCCGAAGTTTTCTTTCCTGTTCTTGTCAAGTTTTCGCTTTTTTAAGCATTACTTGGACTATCTTCAAGCTCAAGTCCTCCCTCTTTTCATATCTCCATCAACCATTGTAATCGCCAGCGTGGCGCAGTGGGTAGAGCGTCTGCTCTAGAGTAGCGAAGTAGGGAGTAAATCCTTACGTCGCGGGTTCGAATCCCACTACTGGACGTGGAGGCCGGTCTTTCGGATGAGACTGTACAAAGCGAGGTCTGTCGCAGTAGGTGCTGGCACGAAAAAGGTCCCTCCCTGCTCAGTGGCACTGAGTCCCGAGTATAGGACAAAATTTGCAGCTCTCCACCGGCAAAGGGTGGTGTCTCCATACGAGAGGGACGTTAAACAATGTACAATCAATCAATCAACCATTTTAAATGTTATTTATAGAAGGATTTTTCGTGCCTAAACCGAGACTCCGCTTCATAACCGCTTTCCAAATCAGAGCCACTAGAGTCTCTTGAATCCTGAGTGAGAACAGCCGACACAAAGAACATCAAACATATTTCAGTTGAAGACGCATCGTAGTCCTTGACTCGCTTTATTAGCTGATTATGGCAGTCTCTTTTGATATCAGCATTTATTGTTTCTGGAAAAATGCTTCGGATGGAGCTACAAATTGCATTGCAAATACTATAGCATAAATGTGCAGCAATGTGGAATACTCGCCTAAGGGTAAGACTTTACTCTGCCGGTTCCGAGAAAAACGCGCCAACATACACATGATACATGCCGCCGAAGAACTTTATTTGAACTGGTTCATAATGAGAAATGATATTTGAACGCAGATATTTTAGGCAAAATGTCGGAAAGTGCATTCTTGATGCCGGATGGAGTATTTTAATGAGCATTCATTTTGAAATAAATGCAGGGTAACTGGTAATGAGACAAAATCTCTGCAGAATGAAAGACTTAAACCTGCAAAGAGTTACAGTGAGTAGAGTTTAAGACAAAAGTTATTCTCAAATCAAATATGGCCTAGTGTGAACGACCACTTTGACAGGACAAATGACGTATACGCAGGACAAATGACGTAGGCGTGTGCATTGTAGAATATAGAATGCCTCTGCTAAGGTGATTTTTTTCCGGATTAAACAATGATGCGAATATTAGATATCCTAGACGATAATTGATTCAGAGAATTGAGCTTCTCTCAGCCAAAAAAAGGGGGGAGCTAAGCCCCAATTTTCAATTCCTATATTCTTATGTCTAAACCCCGCCCCCGTTACGACACCCATGCGTTTACTTTTTTAAAAAAACTCATGCTGAAAAGTAACAAAAAATATTTTCATCTTCTCTTGCTCTGGAACGTATATCATTAAATTTTGCACAAGACCAGCGGCAGGTCAAGAAAACACAACCATTAACATAATTTTTAGTATTCCGCAATGTTTAGGTGACATCATGATCGGTTTTTCAAGTAGAACATTCTTGTTTACGCATGCGCATTCCGTTATTTACATCCTGACAGTATAATGCCCTGATTGACCTGATTACATATATACAACAGGTTGCATCAAAATTACTTTATTTTGGCGAGTATTGTAGATATTTTAGTTGTCAAAATTTTAAAGATGATTATATTTTTTCTGCCGTGGGCTATTAATTGGCACATGTCATTAAGTTAGATGATTGAAAACAGCTGTAGAATGTCATCGTATTCTGGATTTTTCTATGTCTGTATATTGCGATATTTCTTGCTGGGCGAAAACGTAGGGTGGTTGTAACACTAATTTTAAATTACGAAGCATGCATATTGAAATTAACTGATTTATTTTCTCTACACAAGCCCCTTTGGTCTTATGCTTCAGTGAAATACTGAATCAGCTGTGAAAGACAGTCAAAATCATTAATAACGGTTGTAGATTTTCAAACCATGCATGCAAGTGCATGGGGTCACGGGCTTTGTACGTTAATGTAAATATTAAGTAATTGCATATATGAAAAGAACTCTTTTATACATGCTCACACTCAATATTTACATTAACTCCAGGTGCCCATGAGTGGACCCATACTGGATTAAATTTCTGCATCAGGATTGTAGTGGCTAGAGCTACAATGTACATACAGTAAACTGTGGATAATCAATGATTAAATGTACCTAATTAGTATATGTTTGATTGTATTTCTCTGTTTATAGATATTCTCCTATGTATGTATGTTTCTGTTATTTTAGAGTTATCGATCCTTTTTGCAAAGTAAGTTTTGTTTTTGCAAGAAGACACAATAGTAAATTGCATGTTTTTATTGATACATAGATCTTTCAGAAGCTAATCAGCTAAAGTAGATGGCATCATCTGATTCATCTCTAGAGATTGCAAAGGCGGGCTGGCTTTGGAGACAGAGTATGTATAATCTGAAATGTATTGATTATCGACCTTGAAAAACAAGCAGATACAAGGCTCCAAGACTCTAAACTGAAAAAAGTTGGGTCAAAATTTCGATCTGGATTACCGGTACCTAGATTTTATTTGACAAAAATGTTGCAAGTTTGTAGAATATATTCAAGTACTTATAAAAGCTTTTAATTTTTTTCAGAATTGATTCAAATGTTAAAATAATTAGAAATTTTGACTTGAGTCTGTTCTCATTTTATGGTCTGGAAGTAATGGTGAATTTTTACAATTTTGCACACCATACAACAGAAATAATTTTAATAGCCTTTCAGTTGGTTTTAGTTTCAGGCAGTTTTGATCAGATACTGTAAACTAACTTTCATTCGCATGCAAGAAAATATACTATAGTGAATTCCACTTCCAACTTCAATTCGCAAATATTAATCTCCACGATTCAGTCATTTTGCTTAATTAGTATTTGTTGAGAATGTTACCTCAGTTGCGAAAGATTAATCATCATGAATTGATTTCAAACTGACAAATCGCAAAGAAAGGATGATGCGAATAATAGTTGGTTTACAGTACCACAGGGGATATTTGGCATTTGTAAATATGAGAAAAAAAAAATCGAAGTTTTCATTGCATGTTTATTTCTTTGAGCTGTCATTTTTGTGTGTAATTTCCATTTTAGCTTCTTTTTTGAAAAGATGGAAGAAGGAATGGTTTGTGCTGTACCAGAACGGTGATTTACGATATTTTGAGAATCCTGATAAACACGAATCTGAGGCCAGGATTTCAGTTCCTGGAGTTTGTAAATACATATCTACTGGACCAATGGTAATTTAGTACATGTATATATATATAGTTTATAGTAACTCAAAAATACCACATGTAGTAATATACACAAATATCTCAATGATTATTACTTATATAGTCCCATGATATAGCAATTTTAATGATAAGGAAATAAATAATAAATTGATTTCAATGAAACACTTATTGAAACACTTTGTATAAGTGCAAAATTCTGACAAATTTATATTACATACAATATGTCATATTGTCTCTTAAAATTCTAACTTATCAAATTTTGTGTCAATTTTCAGAGTCTTGCAAAATATAGACACATTTTGATATTAATATATACTACAGTAGCTTGCATATTGTAAACATATACAAGTATCCTGTATGTTGATTTAGGGCAAAAGGAATGTGTACTCACTCTCCCATGTACAAAATATGTGTTTATGCATTACAACAATATGTACATATGTATTTATATACACATGTAGCTGTGTACATTTGATATTATCTTAATCCAGGTTGATGCCACTCCCCCAGATGGTAAATCCAAGGACAGCCTGCTAAGTCTGGTGCTGAAGGATGGCGAGATGAATCTGTGTGCGGAAAATGCTGACGACATGAAGTATGTGGCCACACAATTATAGCTGATATATATTTTGTTGTTTGTTAAAAAAATTTACATTGGTCTGTAAAAATTGATCATTATAGGGCCTAATACTGCACCAACTTTACTTCATTTTATGGAAGATCGAAATTATATTTGTGTATTTTTGAATTTATGCTGTTACTTTACACTGGGTTGCAAATTGGTAATATAGTAAATGAAAATAAATGTAAGTAATAATAGCAACAATTAAGCTGGAGATGGCATTGAAAATCTTTTTTTATTTGCAATACACATGATATCTGATTAAATTATGTACATTTGAAATTGATATTTATTTTGTTGTGTAGGGCTTGGCAGATAGCATTGGAGGAAGCTCGTACTATACAGGGTGTCTTTAGGCAGCCTCCCCCCTATTCTAGTGGTATAATGTACCCAGGACAGCAGGAGGTCCAGCACCATTACCCTATACAGGTGGGAGGTCCATCTAACATTGTGTACACTACGTCCTACCCTAATGGAGGCTACCCGGGACAGATCATAGCTCTGCCTGACGGAACTCAAGGTAAGGTGTCATCAAAAGTCCGATATCCATTTCGTGTTTACAAATAGGTTGTACATGTATTTGGATACTGTATACATGGAATCAATCTTGTGTTTGCAAATTGATTGTATTTGGATATTTAAAATAGAGGAGTATTAATTGGTATGGGTGTAGAATCAGTGATTTTTTTGCTTGCGTATTGTGTTTACATTAGGACACTGTAAATGAAACACTGTGAGTTTGTATAAAAGTCAATTCAATCTTAATTTCACATGGACATGCATATATAGATCCATAAACTCAAAAAAGTGCAAAACACTTAACAGGAGTAAAATGCCATTTTGTATATCGCAAAATTGTATTTCAGTAAACGGAACCATCTTAATTGTTCAAATGTATTCTACATCATATAATAACACTGTAATGTAAACTATTTTTTTAATTCTTTTGACATTCTAAGCTCAAAATCTTACACTGTATCTTATAATTTTCTTTTCTTCATTTTATCATTATAGTAATGAGACCTGCGAATACAGTTTACGTTACCGACCCTTACTATTACCGGCGACGTTACGATGGATCAGACGTGGCACTCGGCATGTTGGCTGGAGCCGCCGTCGGATCTATGATGTGGGGACCACTTCTGTTTTGGTGATAGGGGAACCATTCAGAGCAATGAGAATTGTACTGGAGAAAGAATTTATCATAAAAATATGGGATTTATTAATTTCCAAAAGAGTAATTAATTTTTTAACAGCATATTTGCCATAGTGAAGAAAACATTTATTCTGGAATGCTATTTTCCAAAAAAAAAAAAAAAGGTTATAATACTTTTCACATGGTTTTTCCATAGTGAACATGGTGAAGCTAATTTGTTCAGTTAATTATGCTATCACAAAATTTTCAACAAACCATATTAGTGTTAAAATATGTAGCAAAGCAGTTAATGTGCAATATTCCAACTAATTAGCTTCTATGAGATTCCCATATATAGTTTTTTTTTGTGTGCTCATGTTTTTATATGATCTAGACTACGCTTTTTTAGCTCACCTCAACGAAGTAATTTAGTACATGTATATATATATCGGCGTTTATCGGCGTAACCCAAAAATAAGGTTAAGTTTTTTGGAGCAGTTTTCTTTTTATTACTTATGTGTCCATGATACTGCAATTAGACATGCATGGAAGATGGTTTTAGTGTGTTTTATTGTACCAGACAAAGTTTCAGATGCTGCAATTTCAGCAAATTTAATTACCAGGTTAATGTTTTTGGTCAGGTTAACATTTTTATCAATTTTGGTGTCAATTTTCATTTCCAAAATATAAGCACATTTTATATTAATATAACTTGCATGCTTGATATTGTAAACATATACAAGTATCCTGTATGTTGATTTAGGATGCAAAAGGAATGTGTACCTACATTTTCCAGTTGAGTGAACAAAAAGTTTTTGGTGCATTTCAATTTCCAAGTAACTATAAGCCCTGTGTTGACAAAACTTGCATGGATGATACATCTAAGGCTGCATACTACCGGGCTTGCTTCGGATGCTGAATCTGACCTACATTTTCCGGAAAAGTGAACAGGTTAAAGTTTTTGGTGTAGGTTTCATTTAGTGATATATAATTTTATGTTGACCAAACTTGCATGGATGATACATCTAAGGATGCATTCTACCGGGCTTGCTTCGGATGCTGAATCTGACCTACATTTTCCGGTTGAGTGAACAGGTTAAAGTTTTTGGTGCAGGTTTCATTTCCAAGTAAATATTAGCCCTATGTTGACCAAACTTGCATGGATGATACATCTAAGGATGCATAATACCGGGCTTGCTTCGGATGCTGAATCTGACCTACATTTTCCGGTTGAGTGAACAGGTTAAAGTTTTTGGTGTAGGTTTCATTTGAATTAACTATAAGCCCTATGTTGACCAAACTTGCATGGATGATACATCTAAGGATGCATACTATTCGGGCTTGCTACCCGGATGCTGAATCTGACCTACATTTTCCGGTTGAGTGAACAGGTTAAAGTTTTTGGTGCAGGTTTCATTTCCAAGTAACTATAAGCCCTATGTTGACCAAACTTGCATGGATGATACATCTAAGGATGCATACTACCGGGCTTGCTTCGGATGCTGAATCTGACCTACATTTTCCAGTTGAGCGAACAGGTTAAAGTTTTTGGTGCAGGTTTCATTTGCAAGTAACTTTAAGACCTATGTTAACAAACTTGCATGGATGATACATCTAAGGATGCACACTACCAGGCTTGCATTCGGATGCTGAATCTGAAAACATTTTCCGGTTGAGTGAATAGTTAAAAGTTTTTGGTGCAGGTTTATTTCCAAGGAACTATGAGTTTTTAAATGACCAATCTTGCATAACGATCTAAGGATGCATACTTCCAGGCTTGCTTCGGATGCTGAATCTGACCTACTTTTTGTAGATGAGTGAAAATGTTAGTTTTGATGCATGTTTCATTTCCAATAAACTATGAGCCCTATAATGAGCAAACTTGCATGGATGATACATCTAAGGATGCACACTAATGGACTTGCTTCGGATGCTGAATTGGACATACATTTTTCAGATAATAGACAAGGTAAAAGTTACGGTTGCAGGTCTATTACCAAAAACTATAAGGCTTATGTAACATTGTATAAACCAAACTTGCACAAATGCTGCATCAAGAGATGAAAACTCGCAAATTTGCTTCAGATGCTGGATTTTCATTACATTTTCATGAAGAAGAAGTAGTTTAAATTTTTTATGTAGGTCTATTTTAAAGTATCAGATCAAAATTGCTTTTAAAAATATTTTCATTTTTGGAATGTATACTTTTTGTTGGTTAATTGTGTGACTTTGCCTTACTTAAAGACAACATTCGTTGAGGTGAGCTCTGTAATCTCTGATTACCTATGTTTTTTTCTTATAAAGAATTTATTAAATGATGTTATATAATGTTACTGTTTAAATATATTGTTATGATGGTTATATGCTACTAAAACTTAATTGTTTCATTCACTTATGTCATGTAGATTTTTAAGGATTTTTTTTTGCTCAAATAGTGCACATTCAGTGCTAACAATTTTTTTTTCATTTGAAACATTGCTTAAATGAATCCATTATGTCATTTACCTTTTTGGATTTTGGTATTCAAAAATTACCTGTATATTTTTGAATGCATGGTTATAAAAAAGTATATTGGCATTATCACACCCAAAGAGTCCAATTATAGGCATAATAATTTTTTTTTTCTGCATCAGTGTGCAACAAAAGGAATACTATATTTAACTATTATTCCATTTCTCAAGTGGACTGTGGTAAAAGATGAATGGAAGGATTAAATATTTGAATATATAATGAAATAAAGGAAAAAAACAAACATTTTCAAATGAGATACATATGTAATCATTTAATTTTTGTGGTACATGAATTCATTTGTAAAATACACAGGCTGATCTCATTTGTGCTAGTAATTGAAGTCCATGAAGAATAGTGATAAAAGAGTTTATCATGTACAATGATGAATAAATTATTACCAGATTGCATCTTTATTTAAAAATATACCATAATTTGTATGAGAGGAAAGATAATGCATACCAAAGGGTATATATTATTGATCATCCTAGTAAATTCAGCTTAGTATACAATACTCTGAATTTCAAGTTCATATGTTATAAAATATAATTTGTTTCTTTTGTAGACCACTCGAGAGAAAATTTTGTTGCATAATTTTTTTCTAACGTGCACTGGAGTAGTGGTCTGTTTATATTTTGTTTATGTATACATTGAATGTGCCATATGTTGTATTTTTATTTTGTTATTTGAAACTGGCATGACAATATTAAATGTTAAACATTAAATCTGAATTACCTTGATATGTAATTATACATTACTTCATTGTCACTTAAGTCATTAAGTGAGAAGTGTGTCTTCCTCTACCAAACTTCCCATAACATGTGGCCGTAACTTTTGAACAGTTAGCACTACGACTTTCATATTTCACAGGTGTATTCCTTGTGACAAGACCTTCCTTGGAATACCAATAATTTTGACCTTGACATTGGACCCAATTTTGAAAAAGACAAACTTTTACCTTGGTCATAACTTTAGAACAAGAAGAACGGTGGCTTTTATATTTCAAAAGTATGTAGCTTATGACAAGCCCTGGCATGTCAGCTTATGATGAAGATTGAAGGTTTTCAAAAGTAAGTCAAAATCCAAGGTCAAAGTCAAAAGGTCAAAATTGTTGGTATCCAGAGAAAGGTCTTGTAACCTGTGAAATATGAAAGCCCAGGGGTAGTACTAACTGTTCAAAAGTTATTTTCAGGTTATGGCCAAGGTTAAAGTTTTTTTAAAAAAGTGGGTTGAACTCTACTAAAGGTCAAGATCAAAAAATATTCATACCAACTGAAGGTCTTTTTACAAAGAAAACACAGATTCTGTTTCTAAGAGTTGTCAATGTTAAGAGGGAAACAGTGCCTTATGCCAGTTGACTCCGGATCAACTTTTATAATACTACTATTTTGAAGAAAAAAAATTAAGTGGCTAAATTAACCTATTTATTAAACTTTTATAAACATAAATATTATCTTATATTTACACGATTTTAAAAAATAAAACACGTAAAGTTTGTTTGTATCAAATGACCTAAAACAACCTTTTATTCTTGTTTCCACTGAATATGAATGTGAAAAGGAACGAATTGTTTCGCATCTGTTAACCGGATGTTTATTGCAGATGGTCGTATGATTTTCATTTTGATGACAATGAGAGTGATTGGATTTATGGAGTGTGCATAATCAAAGACATTTTTTATGGGCAGGATCTGAGAAAATGAAGTGCGAATTGTAACATTTATGAAAAATTGATGACTGAGATATTTTGAAGGTAAACATAAACATATTCTGACGTACAGTCGCATAACGTACGTGGTGATTGAGCGTCTGATACTGTATATTGGTCATCGTAAAAGAGTCCGACACAATCACTGGAGTAAGCTTGAATTATTTAAGTTATTTGAAATGACTTGATTTAGGTTTTGTGTCCCTAAATACGCATTTTTAAACGTGATTGGCGTGTTAAAAAGGCTGACATAAATGGCGCAGTTAGGTTTGAACCGATCTGTAAACATGAAAAAAAAAAAATCACTAGAAGATTTGTTTCCTTCAGGGCCACTGCAATCAAAGTTTCAATAGAATTGAAGCCAAACACAAAAGTCAATTGGTGAAAAAAGATCAGGTCATGATAATCGATTGCTTATAACTCGGCACAAAGTGAAGAAAAAAATAATTACATGTGATATAGATAGTGTTCAGTAGAAGTGAATCTAGTTAGAATAACCTACATTTGTCGTGGAACAAGACCTCACCAAAGTCCACAGTTAGAAATTATGTTCCATATACTTGCAATGTAGCAAATAAGAGCAGATCTGCTCTGAAATTATTTTGAAAAATATAAAAGGGATATATATAGTGCTGAAAATATATACCTACCAATTAAATTAAAACAATTTTTTGAGATTGTGTATGCCTTTTATCCCAAAAACAATCCAAATAAAGTTGAAAATTCAACTAATTTTTAAACAATTTTTCTCGCTTCAAATTTATCTTCATGTTTACATAAGGAACTATTTGGAGAGTTTGTAATAAATGCACTGGGCCAGGAAAGATGAATCTCGATTGGAAACATTCCCAGGTTGTTTAAATTCAAGTTTGTTCTAATCATGATCCCCTGGGGATAGGTTAGAGCCAAAATGGACCATCAAAGTTTTACATATGATTCACCATGTTCACGTAGGAATATGTAGGAAAAATCTTTAAAGAACAGCAAAGCAGCCATTCTAGTTTTGTCAAATCATGACCCTCAGGGGTAGGATGGACCTACAAAGGACATTCAAAGTTTAACCTAGGAATATACTGTAAGTGTAGTTTTAGTGTACATAATTTGGTATATTAAAAATTTTGATCATTGTAATCACTGCACAGGTATGGAGTTGTTGGCGTAATCATAAATTAGCGCTACACATGTCTGTTCAGTGTGTTGTAGGGGTGCAACGATACGCCTACCCCAAGATATGATAATATCACAGTATACAGTTCATGATATGATACGTATCACGATACATGACATATTGGGTTAAAAAGCCACATGTTTGTCATCATATACTTTAAACTTAAAAGTTTTATTAAATGCTCATTACACTAACACTAGAAAAGTGATAACATCCTTCGACCCATTAAATATGAGGAACGAAACAAGTTTAACTGCCATTTCTGCAGTTTAATTGACCTCATATTTTGTGCGGAAGCCATTTTGAAATTGTAAACAAGGAACCAAAATGGACGATTAGGATAATTACGGATCGGGAAAGGCGGTTGAACCAAACTGTGATATCAGTTTCACATATCATGAATTGAACCATGGAAAAATTAACCACGATATACCATCAAACAGTTTATCGTTGCTCTCTTAGTGTGTTTTATATGTAAATGATTTCTTAGCGGTATTCTGGAATTAGCGCATTGTTGTCTGCACCAAAGCTGCTAAAATATGAAGCCCCCTTTTTAAAGCACACATACAGTATATTAAGAAAAATCTTTAAAAATCTTCTTCTCGAGAAAAGCAAAGCCATGATTGGTTACATTTATATGGAAGTATACTCTGACAGTAAGACATACTCTGACAGGAAGTGTACATTCAGATTTGTTTAAATCATGACTTCCCGGGGTAGGGTGGGGCTGGGCCACAATGAAAGTTCAAACATAGGGACCCCACATGGCACATTTTGTTAGAGCATCTACTCTAGAGTTGCAGAGTAAGGAGTTGATCCTAACATTGTAGGTTCAAATCGCACTGAGGGACATTAAAACTGGTTCTTTGGATGAGACTGTATAAATCGAGGTCCCATGTCACAGAGGGTGCTGGTAGGAAAAGATCCCTCACTGTTCAATGGGTGTAAGTATTGAATATAGGTCAGAATTTGTTGCCGTCCACTGGCAGGTGGCGGCCCCTCCATATGAGTGAAAATTCTCAAGAGGGATGTTAAACAAACAAACATTGAAACAAACTAATAGGGAAAAGCCACAGTTAGTCAAAGAAATTGGTAAGCATCCTTACTTAGTGTAGATTCAAGTTTGTTTAAATCCTAACCCTCCTCCCCATTTTTAGCTCTACTGGTCAGAGACCAGAAGAGCTTATGCGATAGTAATGCGTCCGGCGTCCGTCTGTCTGTCTGTCTGTCCGTCTGTCTGTAAACAATTTTTCAAAACGCTAATCCTCCTACAATTTTAGTCTGATTTCAATATAACTTAGCACACAAGTAGACTACACTAAGATACGTAAAATAATGCATCGGTTTTTGATTTCGATGAACGGTGTTGCCATGGTTACTAAAAATAGAATTTTCTGTGAAATTCCTTTAAAATGCTACTCCTTCTACAGTTTTGATCTGATTTCAATATTACTTGGCACAAAAGTAGACTACACTAACTTACATAAAATAGTGCATCGGTTTTTGATTTCGATGAACACTGTTGCCATGGTTACTAAAAATAGAATTTTTTGAGAAATTACTTTAAAACGCTACTCCTTCTACAGTTTTAGTCTGATTTCAATATTACTTGGCACAGAAGTAGACTACACTAAGTTACATAAAATAGTGCATCGGTTTTTGATTTCGATGAACGGTGTTGTCATGGTTACTAAAAATAGAATTTTCTGTGAAATTCCTTTAAAATGCTACTCCTTCTACAGTTTTAGTCTGATTTCAATATTACTTGGCACAGAAGTAGACTACACTAAGTTACATAAAATAGTGCATCGGTTTTTGATTTCGATGAACGGTGTTGTCATGGTTACTAAAAATAGAATTTTCTGTGAAATTCCTTTAAAATGCTACTCCTTCTACAGTTTTAGTCTGATTTCAATATTACTTGGCACACAAGTAGACCACACTTAGATACATAAAATAGTGCATCAGTTTTTGATTTCGATGAACGGTGTTGCCATGGTTACTAAAAATAGAATTTTCTGTAAAATTCCTTTAAAATGCTTCTCCTTCTACAATTTTAGATCTGATTTCAATATTACTTGGCACACAAGTAGACTACTCTAAGATACATAAAATAGTGCATCGGTTTTTGATTTGGATGAACGGTGTTGCCATGGTTACTAAAAATGTGAAATTCCTTTAAAATGCTACTCCTTCTGCAATTTTGATCTGATTTCAATATTACTTGGCACACAAGTAGACTACACTAAGTTACATAAAATAGTGCATCGGTTTTTGATTTCGATGAACGGTGTTGTCATGGTCACTAAAAATAGAATTTTCTGTGAAATTCCTTTAAAATGCTACTCCTTCTACAGTTTTAGTCTGATTTCAATATTACTTGGCACATAAGTAGACCACACTTAGATACATAAAATAGTGCATCGGTTTTTGATTTCGATGAACGGTGTTGCCATGGTTACTAAAAATAGAATTTTCTGAGAAATTACTTTAAAACACTACTCCTTCTACAGTTTTAGTCTGATTTCATTATTACTTGGCACATAAGACAAGTAGACTACACTAACTTACATATAATAGTGCATTGGTTTATGATAATTACAAACCAGTAGAGCTACAGTCTCGACAGAGACTTCTGGTTTAGAGTTTTTATGGTACGGTTTGTACTTTTAATCTTTTCAATACTGCACTGATTTTTGCTCTTTTCTCAGCCACAGTCCTCAGGTGAGTGATGTGGCCCATGGGCCTCTTGTTAAGATGGGCTGACCTATCTAGACAAACTGAATCTCAGCCTAGGTTAAGGGTGGGAATAAACTGTTACAAGTTTACACCTCATCAACTTTCAAGTCAGGTTTCTAGCTAAAAATTTCATGATTGAAGATTACATATATCCTGTCAATTTGAAATAAAAAAGTGTGATGCATCTTTGCTCACTTCCTTCAAATAAATGTCATTTATTGATTTTTAGCTCTACTGGTCAGAGACCAGAAGAGCTTATGCGATAGTAATGCGTCCGGCGTCCGTCCGTCTGTCTGTCTGTCCGTCTGTCTGTAAACAATTTTTCAAAACGCTACTCCTCCTACGATTTTAGTCTGATTTCAATATAACTTGGCACACAAGTAGACTACACTAAGATACATAGAATAGTGCATTGATTTTTAATTTAAATGAACGGTGTTGCCATGGTTACTAAAAATAGAATTTTCTGTGAAATTTCTTAAAAACGCTACTCCTTCTACAGTTTTGGTCTGATTTCAATATAACTTGGCACAAGTAGACTACACTAAGATACATAGAATAGTGCATTGGTTTTTGATTTCGATGAACGGTGTTGCCATGGTTACTAAAAACAGAATTTTCTGTGAAATTCCTTTAAAACGCTACTCCTTCTACAGTTTTGGTCTGATTTCAATATAACTTGGCACACAAGTAGACTACACTAATATAGATAGAATAGTGCATCGGTTTTTGATTTCGGTGAACAGTGTTGCCGTGGATACTAAAAATAGAATTTTCTGTGAAATTCTTTTAAAACGCTACTCCATCTACAGTTTTGGTCTGATTTCAATATAACTTGGCACACAAGTAGACTACACTAATATAGATAGAATAGTGCATCGGTTTTTGATTTCGATGAATGGTGTTGCCGTGGTTACTAAAAATAGAATTTTCTGTGAAATTCCTTTAAAGCGCTACTCCTTCTACAGTTTTGGTCTGATTTCAATATAACTTGGCACACAAGTAGACTACACTAAGATACATAGAATAGTGCATCGGTTTTTGATTTCAATGAACGGTGTTGCCATGGTTACTAAAAATAGAATTTTCTGTGAAATTCCTTTAAAACGCTACTACTTCTACAGTTTTGGTCTCATTTCAATATAACTTGGCACACAAGTAGACTACACTAAGATACATAGAATAGTGCATCGGTTTTTGATTTCGATGAACGGTGTTGCCATAGTTACTAAAAATAGAATTTTCTGTGAAATTCCTTTAAAGCGCTACTCCTTCTACAGTTTTGGTCTGATTTCAAAATAAGTTGGCACACAAGTAGACTACACTTAGATACATAGAATAGTGCATCGGTTTTTGATTTCGATGAAAGGTGTTGCCATGGTTACTAAAAATAAAATTTTCTGTGAAATTCCTTTAAAACGCTACTTCTTCTACAGTTTTAGTTTGATTTCAAAATAAGTTGGCACACAAGTAGACTACACAAAGATACATAAAATAGTGCAATGGTTTTTTGATAAGTACAAACCAGTAGAGCTACAGTATCGACAGAGACTTCTGGTTGATAAGAGTGTTGATCATGTTCATAAGATAAATGTTATTGACTCATGGTATATTTGATCTCTTTATCTGTACACCTTTACTGTAACTCACCATTTGTTGCAATGCTCCATCTGTTATATTGACATATTATGATGGATTTTGAAAACAAACGCATTTAGAATTTTAGAGATGCCACCTAAGAGAAAAAGAGGAAGCAGAGGTTGTTTTACTATAAGTTGGATTTAGTGTATTATTTACCCAGTCAGCTGATTATCAGCTGATTGACAAATTATAACTATACTGATATTATAAATGCTAAAAATATCAATCAGTTAATCATGGTAATTTATCTATTTTAGGAGGTGGACACACTTCAGTGATGAGCGCAAGAAAACGAAATCGGAACGGGGATGTCATTGGAGATGAAAATCATGCTGTGAGTTTAATATAATACTATTTATTGCATTCAAATCAAATCTCTCAAGATATATTTTCCTAACATTTTAAAATTTATTCTATTATCTGCATCATAACATCTGTTGTACACACTTATTGACAAGCTGTTAATAACAAACAACTAACAGTTTAAAGTTTTAAATATCATATTTTGGGCGAATTTTCAGTCAATATAAAGACCTAATGAAAATTTTTTTATTCTACTAATCCTTTAAAACATACATGTAGATAGTTTTTGTAGGAGTAGTTAGGTAATTTTATGTATTCCTAACATTCTCTCTCAAATTTACTTATTCCTGTTCACTCCTTGGGGAGCATTAAAGGACCTGGATAGAACACCCCTCTCTCCTTCTGGCCAGGTCCTATATGCTTTTTGGGCTACATTTTCAATTAGGCCCAGGTAAACCAGCCTCTTTTGCCTCCATTTTCCAAGGATCTTCTTTAGATTTGGCTGAGTCTTCTGACCCTTCAATTTCCACGTGGGTTCCAAATTCATGAGACTGTTTTATGAGCCTGTTGTGTGATGTCCAAGATTTACGTAAAGTGTGGCCTATCCATTCCCATTTTTTCTTCTTTAATTCATGAAAAGGAGCTGTAATTTTTTTTTGTCCAGATTATAATTTTTTTGAATTAATCCTTAAATTATATACATGTATACAGACTCACTGTCTGATTTTGTGGAAAATTAAATTTTCATATATAGTTATCAATTAAACAAATTCAATTTTCTGGGCACATTTATATACCATGGAATGTCATTGTTCATGCTTTATGAGAGAAAAGAAAATCTCCAACAAAGAAATGCCAATAAATAATTGCTAGTAGCAAAGCACAATTAATAAAAAGAAAGAAATCACTGCAATTGTAACAATCATATATCATAGAAATTTCACACTTAACAGACATAACGTGTGCATCACTGATTTCCTGTATGGTATGTTCACTTCACTTTTCTTCTTTTCCTTAAATTCTAATTTCACATCGTAGTACACTGTAGTAGCCCATAATTTATTTGGTGTTGACGAATTTAGCACATACTCCTTTTTATATTTAATTTTTCTATAAACATACTCAAATCATAACACCTATTCTCCCCTTAAGCATTGATAAAGTACATACATTATTATTATTTTTAATACCTTCGAATAAAAAGTTTATGCCCCTATTGAAAATGCATTCTGCATCTTTTTTTATTTGACTAATAAATGTACATGTGAACAATGTCATCACCATATTTTTGAGGGAGTCACTGTGAAATCATTTTTCAGCACATGTAAAACTGATTTATTGGGAAAACCCCAGAAAGTAATCATTATTATAATTGTCCTACCTTTCAAAAAAAAAACACATTAGTTTGACAGTTGTAAGAAGTGTTCACTAAAATACCCTGAGATATTAAACCTGTGTCTTGCATTGTCCTTAGGAGCTTCTCTGAACCCAGAACAAAAGATGAGAAAGTCCAAAATACAATGCCCCTAATCACAGGTGATTACAGTGTATATTTAGAGACAGACTATTTGACCTAAAGGGTACCCATTATAAATGATGATATTGGACAGATGTCACCCAGCAAAGAATGAAAGTTCAGGAGATAAAAGTTAGTTGACAGGGTAATTGAACCTTGGGATTTTGATGTTTGCACTGGGGTTCAATATTCATCTTTTTGGACCATAAATAATATATTATCACCAACTGTTTGAATACTGCACATATACATATAAAGTGCATCATTAGCAGGAGGGGTCTATTAAGTCAGTGAATTGTGTTGTGAGGGAGTTATTTCTCCATAATAAGACAGGGATGAGTGTCGTCACAAATAAACTGTGTCCTAGGCTGGACAAAATGCAGATAGAAAATCAAGAGAATAAGGAGAATATTCAAATTAATGGCAAAATCCAGCATAGTGATATGCGGGTAAGATGTTTAGATTGTTTTGGCTGATTTTGCTCATTTTGTGTATAACTCATTGTGTTACATGCAGCTTTTTAAATACAAATGAGTTCCTCTTTTTATAAGCAGAATGTTGGAAAGAAAGATGCATCCATTATACCTTTAATAGTTTAAATTTTTGATTGGGAAGGGTTTAATTTGCTTTTAGACGGAGATTTTGTATTACAGTTTTGTGACACTGTTGTGTTTTGTTAGTTGTCATTGATTCGTTGGTCTTCCTTGTGTATTGATTTGCATTTGAAATGTTCAAACCTTTATGTCTATAAAAAGCAATGTACACAATTTCTGTCCAAGAAATCTACCAAGAGTCCTGGGTCTAAGAAGGTCCCTGTACCCAGAAAACAAGTGCAGGTAACAATTTCTTTATAGAGAATGCTGGGGTGAAAAGTACTTGGTATTGGAGCTTCATCGCAGAATACTAGCTTTGTTTTAATATTCTGATGCATGCTGCATGTATTCTTTCAACTGACCTGAATATTTGTTAAAAGAATTAGTTAATTGAGATAACCTGCATTGACTTTCTGAAACTTTTTTTTTATTTCAGTTATTTTGACTTAATCTGTGTACAGTTGTACTGTACAGTTGTAGATAATGAAAATAGACATTCATAATTTTGTTGCCACTCATCATGCTCATCAAAAAAATTCGATATTACATGGTAACTACAGGGAGAAAAAATTATGAATTACCATTGGAATTTGATCTATTTGATATCTTTAATGATACACAAGCTACTGAATATTTGATAATTGTTTATCTCACATGTTTGACATACTTTTAAACCCCCAACGTGGGTATATAAATATAGCTGTGCACATGAGTAAATAATCCAAAGTCCAATTGCTGAATATGACTACATGTACTATGACATACATTACAAAGTTCTCAAGATTAACAATTGATAAATTTAGTGAAACTGAATGGAGCACTTTATCGTAGCGATAGTAAAGGCCTTTTTGTGACAGATACAGAAGGTGACGTTTACGCATGTTGAACTTTGTACTTATGGTACTTGGTGATTTGAGCTTTTACATGTACAATGTAGTATGCTAGATTAATTAAAAAAAACTATGTTTATTTGTATTAGCTCAGTGCAAGCTTGTACAGAAAATAAAAGCTTTTCGACTTTGCTAGTGCATCATTGATTTTTTTCTATCATCATGCAGTATAAACTGTACAAAAATATTGTCTGGTTTGAGCTCTACACCAGAAGAGCTTATGCGATTCTAAATATTTCCGTCCGTCTGTTGATTGTCTGTTATCTCACGTCTGTTTCCGTCTGTCTGTAAACAATTTTTCAAAATGCTACTCCTCCTACAATTTTAGTCTGATTTCAATATTACTTGGCACACAAGTAGACTACACTAAGATACATAGAATAGTGCATCGGTTTTTGATTTCGGTGATCGGTGTTGCCATGGTTACTAAAAATAGAATTCTCTGTGAAATTCCTTTAAAACACTACTCCTTCCACAGTTTTGGTCTGATTTCAATATTACTTGGCACACAAGTAGACTACACTAGGATACATAGAATAGTGCATGGGTTTTTAATTTCGATGAACGGTGTTGCCATGGTTACTAAAAATAGAATTTTCTGTGAAATTCCTTTAAAACGCTACTCCTTAACAGTTTTGGTCTGATTTCAATATTACTTGGCACACAAGTAGACTACACTAAGATACATAGAATAGTGCATCGGTTTTTGATTTCGATGAACGGTGTTGCCATGGTTACTAAAAATAGAATTTTCTGTGAAATTCCTTTAAAACGCTACTCCTTCTACAATTTTAGTCTGATTTCAATATAACTTGGCACACAAGTAGACTACACTAAGATACATAGAATAGTGCATTGGTTTTTGATTTCGATGAACGGTGTTGCCATGGTTACTAAAAATAGAATTTTCTGTGAAATTCCTTAAAAACGCTACTCCTTCTACAGTTTTGGTCTGATTTCAATATAACTTGGCACACAAGTAGACTACACTAAGATACATAGAATAGTGCATCGGTTTTTGATTTCGATGAACGGTGTTGCCATGGTTACTAAAAGTAGAATTTTCTGTAAATTCCTTTAAAAAGCTACTCCTTCTACAGTTTTGGTCTGATTTCAATATAACTTGGCACACAAGTAGACTACACTAGGATACATAGAATAGTGCATCGGTTTTTGATTTCGATGAACGGTGTTGCCAGTGCAATTTTCTGTGAAATTCCTTTAAAACGCTACTCCTTCTACACAGATTTCAATATAACCTGGCACACAAGTAGACTACACTAAGATGCATAGAATAGTGCATTTGTTTTTGATTTCGATGAACGGTGTTGCCATGGTTACTAAAAATAGAATTTCCTGTGAAATTTTTAAAACGCTACTCCTTCTACAGTTTTAGTTTGATTTCAAAATAAGTTGGCACACAAGTAGACTACACAGAGATACATAAAACAGTGCAATGGTTTTTGATAAGTACAAACCAGTAGAGCTACAGTCTCGACAGAGACTTCTGGTTTGTTGTTGTTGTATGTGCATGTAGATGCTCAAAAATCAACATATAGAGCTTATCATATTCAGAAACCCTCAATTCCTGTTGACAGATAGTATGTTAAGTTAAAAAGGAAATGTGATAGTGACTGGGGTTTTAGGATGTGCATTATCTCGCTATGAAATATTTAAGGCTTTTTAAAACCACTTCTGAATTTGAAATCAATTATCTTGCAGACTGAGACACATGTATATATACATCCCGTATCATACTGTTTGTCTAGACTACAACTTACTTGTTAATATTTAAAATACGTGAAAATACCATAAAGGACATTTTGGACATTCATGAATGCAGGTAGACTAGTGTTAAAATGTTTATTATTTTAATATTATCTTACGGTATACCATAACTAGACTGCATTCATAAGTTGGTGCACTAAAGATGAGTTGCATCATACAGAATATATTATTATTATATGCATGAAACTGTTGTTTAAAAAGTTTAAAAGTGATGTGATATGTTTACATTTTAATTGTGTCAAAAAGTACCAAACTAGGTTTTACTGTAATATTTGCATTAATTTTATTCAACAGCTAGCACTAAGTAGGCCAGCCCCATTCTCACATGATGAGGAGGCCATAGCAGAAAATGAGAACTGTGACTATTCCATAAAAATTAGCCTGGAGTTGGCAAAGTCCGGAAAAGGTAACAGCAGCAGCAGGCATTTAACTACAATGATTATTTATAACTTATCCATAGTCATTTTTAAAACAGTTATATGTCTAATATATATATAATAAATTATCCGGACGCTTTGGTTCCCAGTCAATTTGTCCGGATATTTGAAGCGTCCGGATACCTGAGTCACCAGTTAAACAAGACAAAAGGACATATAAAAATTCTGTGCCGATGAAAAATTGTCCGGATACTGAAGCATCCGGATATCTGGCCTCCGGATATCTGAAGGTCCACTGTATATAATAAAATAAAAAACTTTCAAACACTTTTTGAAATATTTTGACCGTGCTACCGGCCTTCATCAGTCGTGTTTATTTGAATGCATAGCAATAAATTATACATATAAAAGCAATCACAGGCATCTAAGAAGTTAAAGTTTTGGTATTTTGTAAAGATTTGTCCTTGGTGTGCATTTTGCAAAGATCACATTTAGTAAATGCCAATTTTACAAATTGTCTGTATGTGTGTCATATTTCAAGTGAAAATGCAGAAAATGCACTTTTGAGGAAGTCACAGTTGAAACTATTGTTCTTTTTGTAGCCCCTAGACCAGTTCGGGTGTATGCTGATGGTATTTATGACATGTTTCATTCTGGACACGCCAGACAACTAATGCAGGTCAAAATGGCTGTACCCAATGCTTACCTCATTGTTGGAGGTAAGGGAAACAACTCAGGATGTGGAACATTAATTTGAATTCTCATGACATTTTGATATTCATTATATCTTCTCTGTTCCATTTTCGTGAGGAGTCGTCAAGTATTGTGAATCAATATTTATGTTCTGGCTTTTCAAGCTATGCAGACAACCATTAAGTGCTAGTATTGGTAAAATTAATTGTTTGTATTTAACAATATGTTGGTATGCAGATTTTGCTCATCAATTTTCATCATGGAGATATGCAGAAGGGATTGATTTTATCACTGTAATTTGAACATGAATTGTCTATACAGTATTGCATCATTTAATGGACAACAGGCTATAAATTTTCTACCGAGACTAGCCGTAAGATGGTTGTAGGACAAAAAAACTTTTCTGTTTTACCAAGTAAAATACTGCAGTAATTATAGAAATGGTTTGAGATCTGTGTAATTTCAGAAAGTCATATTGTTAATGAATTGCTAAAATGTTCATGCAGAGGATAGATAACTTTGGAATGGATAAACAGTAGGATTTGCAGTCACAATATGTGACTAGGAAGATGATACTTCTCTTCTTAAAGTTTATTGGTTCTTGGGAAGTTAAGACTTCACATTTTTGCAAACATTAATTTTTGTATCAGGAATATATTAGATTTCGGGGTTTTTTTGTTTTATTTAATGGGCTGGTAAAGGATCTGAAATTGCAAATATTTCCACTCCAGAAAATTCTTAATTCATGAAGGCTTCTTCAAAACAAACCCTTAAGTTTAGGCACAGGTATTAATCTTTGTATGTGAAACATTAAACATAAATGTCCACAGTTTGTGATGATGAACTGACTCACAAGATGAAGGGCCGTACAGTTATGAATGAATCGGAGCGATATGAGGCGGTACGACACTGTCGTTATGTCGACGAACTTCTCACTGGCGCCCCATGGACGGTCACAGACGACTTCCTAGAAAAACAAAAGGTATCTTATTTATTAAAAAAAGAGTTCATTAATTTTGTAATGAGGCAATTAGAAAAATTGTTGCTTGGAAAGTTTACTGTAAAATGTAGAAATGTGATTGTACATGTATTCTTAACTATATAAAGAGAATAAAACGTGTCTAAAGAGAAGAAAATGTATGCAATTTGAAATACATCTATGCCAAAGAAGACTTCTGTTACAGGAGAGATAACTCTGCAATTCTTAATAATTCGTAATTTTGGAGTCCAAGGTAAGACATCCTTTCAATTTGCTTATGTTTTAACTATTGGTGTTTCAGATTGACTTTGTGGCACATGACGATTTGCCCTATGGAGCAGGAGGCACAGAAGATATCTATAAAGGTCTTAAAGAAAAGGGCATGTAAGTTTATGTATACATGTATATGTATGAAGGCATATTTATACCTGTATGTTTAAGAGACACCATCTCAAAATAGAAAATTTGCATGACACATGCAAATTTTGTTCAGTTCTTGAAGATATAAGGTTTCAGAAAATTACAGGTTTCATAATCTTAAAAATCTTTAATGGAGAAAAAAGTGAAAATAATTTTTGTTTATAATATACTCATATGTATGCACATACTTTTACAAGTCGAGTTAAAGTTTAACATATCTCTTGTGTGCTCAACTCTTCAGAAATTTACAGGTTCCTTGCAACCCAGAGGACAGAAGGAATATCTACCACCGATGTTATAGCCAGAATTATTAAGGATTATGACATGTATGTACGGAGAAATCTCAGCCGCGGCTATTCTGCTAAGGATCTCAATGTCAGTTATATGAAGGTGGGTTCTGGGTTGTTCACCATGTCACACTGTTTTAAGTTTAACTCTGAAGAGTAAGTTCATCAATAACAATATCCCATTCTTAGTATGTAGAATGATTTCAATTTAATTTCTTGTTGTGCAGCTGCACCAGAATAGTAAAGTTGATAACAGGAAAGTGAATGGGAAAAATTATGTACCCTCATACCACTCATTGATTATCCTTTTGATAAAATCGATAAACAGCTGACATGAGCATTATCCTGTTCTTGATAATTCTAGCTGTCAAAAAGAATGCAATTCATTATTATAAATCAATTTTAGCTCTGATGGTTAAAGATTACAGAGTTACCTGTAAAATCCTGTCAATGAGTTTTCATTTTATGCTTTCCCAATTTTTTCCTTAACTTGTTAAAAAATTAAAGATGAAAAGAATACAATTTATTAAAAATCTTTAATTTTATTTACAGGAAAAGAAAATTCAATTTGAGACCAACTTCAATTCTATAAAAGACAAAGGAAAAGAACTAATAGATAAGACCAAAGATAAGGGGCATGAACTCTTACATCGGTGGGAGGAAAGGTCGAAAGATTTCATTGGAAACTTTCTAGAAATGTTTGGAAGAGATGGTAGACTGGTAAGTGAATCTTTTAACAGCATTTTCTTTGTGACTCTGGGACCATAAAACTTTGATGAGCTCACTTCTGATCTCAGTCTCACTGTTTCCTTAAGTCAGAGTGAGGCTGAGCTCAAAATTGAGCTTGTTTAGGATTTATAGCCCAGAAGCCTGGTCTTTCATGCTTTGGTCACATTGCCTGCATATCCAGTGAAACAAATAGCAAAGTGCCGGGGATGAAAAATTTTTGATTCCTCATAAATGTAATTTATTATATCTGCAACAGTTTTTCTGTATGGTTTAAAACTGCAAGTAATGAAAATTTATTTTCTGTAAGAGTTGATTCATTATGACCAAATTCACAGTTACCATGTTTTTAATGTATAAAGATGTTTACACAGATGTTGGTGTAGTTTGTCTCATTGGTTTAGTGTGTTACATGATATATAATAAAGAAACTGAATGTCAATACGTACATTAAAATGTTTTTAAAAATTATACAGTCTTTTGATGAAATTATTTGTGTTTCTTTTAATAGAAAATATGAAGATTGGAGGTCAATCAAGTTTATTATTTGCTACAGGAAATCATTTTGTTTTAATTACATAGTCATCCCAAAGAAACAAGAAAATTACCCCCTCCCTTTTTTTTTTGCTTTTAGACAAAAAAAACGATGGAAAATATGCTTTAGGAGAGTGAATATATCATTTGCTAATAAAGAATATATAGCACAAACAAAAATTTAATGCATGGATTGATATATATTTTTTGACTGATTTTGAATGGAAATGACATAAATAAGCAATCACAAAATTATGAAGAAATCCTAAGTTGTGGCTCTTAGATACTGTATATTACTTTTATATGGTTTTCTATGAAGTTCTCTACAAAAATTTGCACATATTTTTGACATTGTGACAAATCTTACTAAAGTCTTCCACATAACCTGGAAAATATCATTCAGGCATCAGTGGATGAGAAATCTTGCTGATTTCTGAAAAAAGTTGGTTTGTATTATTTATCCTTACAAGTTCATCTTAATCTCTATCCTTCCAGTCCACATGGATTCGAGCCATTTCCCCTCCCGGCAGCCCCACCCCTGACATGGCAGAGGGAGACTTTGACGAGGAGGAGGAAGATATGGAGGAGAACTTTCTGACCCCCAAGTCATTTTCCCCGACCGCTAGTCCTCCCCTCAAACGGGGGCGCAAGTCACCAACAGAGGAGCTAGATGAAGAGACTTAATAGCTGCTGTCTAGTTTATTTTATATTATTCCAGAATCATTACGTGTATTATCTGTTTTTTGACATTTATTTATTGACATACATTTGTTGTTATAAACTTGAAGCATGAACTTTTAGTTTTCGGGTAACACAGAATTATTTTTTATTGTTTGAAGCATCTTGCCTAAGCTCTTATGCTTGCTGTCTCATATTTAATATGTAGCAATATTCATTGTTTTGTTTTATTTGTATTGTGTAACAATGGCTTCCAATTAGATATGTAGCTACATCTGTACTTGTAGAATACACAAATATATGTCTGAATATAATTTAAAACAAAATCAGTAAATTTTTATACAATGTGTGATATAAAATTTATGATAAATATTGCCTACAAAGCAATACAGGTTCACAATTTGATAAATTTTGCTTGCTTTGAGAAAATATTTGACACTCAATCATAGCTATGGATTTATATTTTCAGCAATAACTTGTATGAATAAGATTTTTATTTTTTTTATGCCAGAAATCAAACCTACATGTAGTCCTGAAATAAGGCTATCGTATATAATTGTGTTGAAAAAAAATGTTTCACTTTATACATAGAAATGGAAAGAAAAACTTTAATTTTCCTGAAAACTGGTTTTTCATGTCAAAGTATTAGTAATGCATGTATTAACATACTGGTCAATTCCTCTTTATGTTACTTTTGTGTATATACTTGTTATAGATTTGTAAACAAAACCTGAATATCATTCTTTTTAATCTGTTATTAATTGTACTTGGTGCTGATTTATAGTCTTTTATTGTCTAGTCAGTGATGATAATTTATTTCCTACAATTGGGTTATGTTGCATTATATAGAAAAGAGGGGAAGGGGGTTATCAACAGAAAATGTCTTCTCTGCTCTGAATTATGATGTATTTTGGAAGTAAAAATGACCTGTTTACATAAAAATACAAAATTGTTGCTTATCATAATGTAATTACTTAATTCACCTATATTACATTTTAAAATGAGTCAGGAAATGTACTCTATCAACTTTTTCACTATTACTTATACTAAACGTGAGAAAATGTATTACTGACTAGAAGAAATACATATATATATATGCATCACACACACAAAATGAAAAGATTACACTGGTTTGCAGAAACTGCTCATCATTCCGTGATATATGTATTTGTTTTATTAAGGAGAAATTGTATGCATATTAAATATTCTTGATGATGGCATAAATGAAAAACAATTTTCCTTCCTACTTACAGATAAATTTATTATTCAAATAAAAAAAAATCAATATTCCATTTAGTCATAGTATTTGTTTACACATGTGCATTTCAAATTGTGTCATAATACTGTAAACTATATTTTATTTGCGACGTCTTTATTTCGCGATTTACTGGAGTAAAAGTAGTTTGCGATGATTAATTTTCGCACTCAAGTCTTTTTTTAATCTGTTTTTAATAGACACAGAGAATTTAAAGACTGGTTTCGCGGTAAGGAATATTCGCAATGATGAGGCTCTCACGAACTTATCGAAAATTTCTAGCACACAAATAAAAGTTGGTTTACAGTAATTGATTTCTTTGCTAGGTTGGTTCAGTTTAAAGATTTTAATAACAACCATGAAATTCTCAATTTGTAAATTATCTTGCCAAAGTCAGGAGTCTCCTATGTTGGGAACAGATTGTAGAAGTGAAAAAAATGCTTTGTAAAGGGGAATAACTCCTGTACCTCTCTATGGAAAAGTGCAAATTTTTAATTGGATTGTCAAGTATTGGAATTTTTGAAATTTTTTACATTCAATATCAATCAGTGTGATATTTTAAATACTTTATATGTCAATTTGCAATTCAATTATTGTTGAATATTTCCTCTAAAGAATAAAAATCTAATGTTTGAAACTTGATTATTGTTTTCAATTTTCATTCAAAAGACATGTTCTTTCAAAAAACATTTTCTATAATATAATATTTTCAAACATAATGTTTTATAAAGGTAAAATGCATCATAATTTACACCATATCACTGAACCTTTTTAATCTATACATTTTGTCTTAATGATGAAGTTGATAGGGTCGTTGTATACACACAATGACAATCAGCTCTGAAGACAACACAGATGGGAGAAAAGGAAGTATTACTACATGTAGGTAAATATTAATTGAAATAAATATCAATATTGACTGACACAAATATCAGTAATGAATAATACAGACTAAACTTAATATCTCAAACTCGATGGGAACAAGAAAAAAATTCAGATATTTGGAGATTAGAGAAATCCATGTTAAAATAAATGTCATTGAAGAAATAAAGAGGTTGGGTCTATCAAATCCTCCCACCATATCAATTCGGATATTGAAAATATTGGTGTACGATATACAAAAAAGTTGAACTGTTTATAATTTGAAAGATTGAGTGGTTCGTGCATATTCATGAGGCCATTGAGAATATCTGCTGTTTTGTTTTTCTTTTGTCTCGATTTTTACCCTCAAATTAAGAATACTCTCATAGTTTTTGTCTAAAATAATTTATTAATCTTTTTTCAAAAACTTAAATATCAGAATTCCAAATAATGCAACTTTGAAAATTATATCCATGAGTGACACAGGAACAGCACATAATGAGGTGGCAATGAGGATTCTGAATTGTGCAGTGTACATACACACCCAATCTGAAGTTCGTTATCTTGAACGTGACAGGACTGAGAAAAAACTTGAAGACATCCAAGATTCAAGATATCCAGGGTAATATAACTGAAGAATATGTTGGGATTTCTAAATCACTTTAATATGCATGTATTAAAAGACATCAGTGTTTAAGATACCAAAACAGAACTGTAATTCATGATAGTCGCCAACAAAATAATTGCAATCACTGAATAATTTAACAATGTAATTGGACCAAATAATTATGATAATCATAAAGAAAATAAGAAAAAATATATTTGAACATAAAGCAATTGGTAAGAGATGCTCATCTTTTAGAGCACAAAAAGGCTGTAGAATAATTGTTGAAAGCATTTTTTACATGAGATTAATTTTCTTTTTTTTAATGATAACCTAGTTTCATTTATCTTGATAATTTCATCATCCTTTGAAGTTTTGGGAAATTATGTAACAGAAGGAGAAGCATATTTGCATAAAGGGGGCTTGTTTACCCATAATGAGAAAGAGACCCTGTTAAATTTCACTTAATCTTGCATAAAGTTTGTATAACCTTGGCTCTGCACTTATCTGTTTTCTTTTTTGTGCACATGTTTTCTTTACGGGCAAAATGTCAACATTGTTAAAAGTACAGATGGATGAGGTAGAATATGCGTAAGAATGAATATAATTTACCTAAAGGTACATGACTGCATATATATATAAGTAATATCCAAAATGTATATAAAGACAAATGGTTGTTAATGAGCATGTAAATATTCATCTTGAATTAAAGTTTTATAAATTAGTTTTTTATTTTAAAATTTTTGAATTCTAGAAATGATGTTTATATAAAAAACTTGATTCTTTTAAAGTCTTTAGAATTTCTAAATTGGTTATTTTCATAAACTACATTTATCATTTGTTTTTACAGTGTCCTTAAAGTTCCTTTTAATCTAAGCAGCATCCACATTGAAGTACTGATGGGTAGAACATGCAAATTTATAATGGGTAAGAATTGCTGTCTGCATAGAGTTCTAGCCATTCATCTGTATATTTAGAGAAAATGATAATTTAATGGACGTTGAGAAACTTTATTTCAACTGAAAATTATTTAACCTAATTTCAAAGCATGTTGCTACAAATATATATATTCAGCATGCATCGATGTAAAGTTTCACATATATGTGATTATTTTTCAATTCTAACAGAAAAAAATATTGGAATGGGTGCCAGCTAGGGGATATTTGTCTAGCAATTAGTACTATCAATATGGTTGAATATCTCTCGAGAAAGATTCATAATACAGGTGTGGAATACCTTCAGTGTTTATTGTTAGGACAAGAACAAATTTACTATTTCAAATATTATATGTCATGTATGAATTTCCCGACAGGTAATACGCAGTTTGTTGGCCAACTTCCCCACCAGTTATTCAGTTATCAGGGTTGAACTTGACTAAACAGAAACTGTTATCAATGTTTATCTAAATAATGAGCAGATAATTATGTTTTTATTTACACAGAAAGGTCCAATTTGATAACAATATGGGTTTCATATTTACATAAATTCTGATTCATGAAAACAAGCCTTTTCTCAGTAACAGTACAAATAGCCATTGAAGGAATCTTATTAGGAGTTGCATTATTAGTTTTGTAGTAGATTTACAAACCTTTTAGTTTTTTTGTGTCAAAATGTGAAAAAAAAATTATTTTACATGTAGTTATTGAAATGAAACTTTTAATTATTAATACTTTATAATTTGGTAACAGCTCTTGCTTTGTCCATCTGTTTGTTTGTCTGTTTGCAAAAACTTAAACGTTGACCACTGACCAGATTTTTTATAATAAGTAGGAGCTAAGGCTTTCATACTTATGTCACATGTGTATTTCTTGAAACAAGACCTCATCCATTGGAGAACAACACTTTTTACCTTGACCATGGAGTTTAAACTTCCCTTCTGATTAATAATAATAGTATATATTTCTTGAAACATCTTTGAGCATAAGGCTAGCGTGACTGATTGGCAGGGGATGCTCACTCCTCCATGGCACCTGATCCCACCTCTGATGTTTAAGAGGTCTATGTTTGCTCTTATCCTATTTTGTAATCTTTAGTGGATTTTGGAGCTTGAATACTGTGTGTTATCACTACTTATCTCCACATATTTCACTTTAAAATCATGTAATACATGTATAACATAATAGCTATAAAAATTAAAGGTTTCTCTGTTAGTATTCTTAGATTAATCCATAAAAAAAATAGCATATAAACCATTCTGGTTGTAATAATTGCAACAATTCTCAGCAATTTTCTGGATTGCAATAACTAATTTCCTCCATTGGAACAGTTTCATCTTTAGGTCCTGAAGGCATTGAGAAGTTGATATGTCAGTTAATTGATGCAGAGTCCCAGGAGACCATACAAGCCAATACAATTTCTAGTTAATTGTAGGTAATGTCACAATATAAAGTCTGTCCTCATAAAGTGTTAATGCTATTTTCAGGTCATCATGATGCTGAGTCACTTGAGTGCAGATTGTTAGCCATTTCTTACATGTCTTTCATTCATGATTTAACTTTAAATATTTCTAGATTCTTTTATGAAGTGATGCATTTGTACTGAAATATTTCCATTTCCATTTTTTTTTCTCTGTGATAACTGTTTGAAATTTGGGGGCATTTATTCCTTGATAATTCTGCCGGAATGTAAATTAGGCAGGTCGATAGGTCAGTAGCTAAGGAGGCCTAATACGCATGCAAATCTCGTGCGCGTCTGTCTCTGTGTCTGACGCTAAGGAGGCCAAATATGCATGAAAATCTCGTGCGGCTGCCTTTGTCTTTGACGTCAGTGTGCGAGGACTATTGAAATTGGCATGGAATGTGAAATTTTAGTCTACATTTTTAATGCAATTTTATTTCACAATGAAATGGAAATATGTCCTAGTTTTGAGAGTATGCCAGGGACATCAACAATAGTGGGACTCTCTCAATCTATGCAAATTAATGGTTGCTGGCATACTCTCAAAACTAGACAGTGATTCCTTAAACAAATTCGTGTTACATTGTAGGAAGCATTTCTCTGAGTATACAGATGCAAAATTATGATTTTCAAAGTCCTTGAGACTCTCTCAATCTAGCAATTAATGGTTGCTGACATTAACTTAAGAAAAATGTGCACATCTTGACTTAAAAAAGGTTTCTCTTGGACCTGATGTTAATATGTATTAGGGATGGGTATAGCCAAAAATTTCATTTTGCGATATATCACGATTTTGTTTCCAAAATATCACGATAAAATCATGATATTTTTACAAGCAATATTTACAGTGATTTTAAATGAATAGTCATTATTTTTCTGAAAAATATGCCTGAAGAACAAAATTTTAATTTTTTGAAATTTTTATGTAGTTACATAAAATTAATCATGTCTGGATGGTAAAATGCTGTTCTTTTCACCTTTTACAACATTTTTTAGACTTTCTATAATTGTAATTTGAAAGATTGAACAAATAAATGAATAATTTCTGGACTTTATCATATGAACCTAAATACTGGTATTTAGATCTCCATATCACGATACGTATCACGCAACAAAAAATCGCGATATATCGGTATACCAAAAAAAATTGCACATCCCTAATATGTACATGTATTATTTCCAGAAAAGGACTTGATTGGTCATTTATGGAAAAAAAAGGAAAGGAGAGACAGGTAAAACAGCTTCTTTATTACTGATCACAAAGCAGACAAACTCATAAATATTAAATGAGTCAGCTACTTTAATTGTGAAAAATTAATAAATTTAGATCTATTTGCTTCAAGATATTTTGTTTCATATCCAGCTTAACATTGTAAAATTGTTAGCTAATTCACTCACAAAATGCGTTTTGACTCGGAAGATTTACAAAAACATTCTCAAGGTCATTTAGACAAGTTCAAGAAGACATTTTCTTGGCAATGCTGCATGTAGTTCCATGGTAAGTTGAGAGGAAAATTAAAAATTTTCATACTTGACAGGAAAATTACTAATGGCAAGAATGATAAATATTAAGAACCATTCCATTGCTGGTTATAAAGCTAAAAAGGGGAAAAAAATTGATCTGACCTAGAATATAACATTAAGGAAGAATTGGTATCACCTGAGATATCCAATATGGTATCCAACTTTCTATTAATAGATCTGACAATATTCTCAATATTTTCCTGAATTGAGACATGGATAATTTTCCTGAATAGAATATGCTAAAACTGTAACCATGCTTGTTTTCCTCCTTTAAAGAGGAAACTTCTAAGCAGACATTGAATATAATTATGTAAATTTTACGTTATAGTTATAAAAATCTTGTTACTTTCCTTATATTACTTTAATTTACAATATTAACTTTTCATGGAATAGATTTTTGATCATTATTCCTCTTTTTCAGGATATGAAATACTTAAAATCAGCTTCTACTTACAATAAGTTTATTTTTCACATTTTTTATGCATGTCTGCTTGAGAAAATTTCATTCTCATGTAAATATTTGCATTTCTATAAAGATTATGTTGATCAATAACTTAAGTCTTTGATTTTTCCCCCTTATAAAAACCAACTGTTACTCATAATTAAATATGTTGTCTGAAATTGGAAAAATATTGATCTATGGTATATGATATGAACTTCAAGGCTTTTATAATGTGACATGTTGCTTTTATGTGATATAATGACACAAAAATTATGCATATTTTTTTTTCTTTGTAACTTCCTTTTAAACAGTGATTTAAATGTCCTTTTGTTTAATTACTTGTTCCTTGTTGAGAGGAACATAAAAATAACATTTTGAGTATAAAATGATTTTAGCTAATGTTCCTTGACTGAATTCGCAGATGTAAAAGGAGCCAATTTATACAAGGTACTTTTAACAAAGAAGTTATTTTTAGTCCTATTTATTTACTGTGCACAGTCATGCTCTGAATGTACATGTAATTTGTATGATAGAAGGAAGATACTCCTTTAATGTAAGTGCTTAAGTGCAAGGCTTATTCATTTTCAGACAGCTCTTTGACTGCGAAGTGATTGTTTTTTTTTTTGTTTTTTTTGAAGACGCTATCATGAAGAATTGAATTACATTTCTGACACATCGAAGCAAATTAAGTTATCACCATTGATTTTTCAGGTAGGGAAAATCCACTGATATTGAAGAGTCTAGAAAACACTGGTGTCGTAAACAAAGAACTTCCCCCTACACTTATTGGAAATTTACTGATTAGCTTGAATAAAAGAGAGCCTGACGTTCATTTTAAAAGGTAAGTTGTTCACTGTTTTATCAATGGTGCAGCTTTCTTTGTTCTGCCTTCACTTTCTTGTCAATTTTAACCGACATATTTAAAGGGCTCTTATACACTGTTGCTCTTTGTTTGACATATTTAAAATACCATCAGCTGATTTTTGTTTTGATTATTTGGCTTTTGCTGCATGCTTGTGATACTTGTGTGTATTTTCTGATATATATGCCACAGGACATAAGGTTTATAGGTTAATGCCATCAGCTGATCTCTGATATTTAGTCCAGACAATGAAGTTATAATGCTTCCTATTGGATTTTCTGTGTCCTGAAACCTGTTAAAATCAATGTTTCTATTGTAAGAGGGTGATTCGATTTCCATTGATTCAACATCAGTGGGCTATAATCACATGGTAGTCACATGACTTCGTCTGACATCTGCAGGCTGGAAAATGCATCAGCTGTGAATCACATGACTTCTTTATGAGAGGGAAAAGATCAGGGAGCATATGCAGTCTAGCCGAATCATTATCACATGGTAAATATCATTTTATTATGTGGATAAATATTGGCCTTTGCTTCCAAGTAAGTAAGGCTAATTTTTTTTTCTTTTGGTTAGATCCTGGTTTCTGATACGTAAATATCTCTTCTTTGAATTAAATTTTGATGATTGAGGCAGATATGTTGTGCCTATAAATAATTTATCATAGTGAGTGATCGTGGTGAAATAGGTTTATGTGTTATGATGCAGTGCCTGACCTAATGTTTATCTGAGTGCTGAACTGTGCAGTTTCTTTTCAACACTTGAGTGCTCTTTGATGTAAGGTAAAGTGTGTTTGCTAGCTTACAAAGTGAAAGATTGCATCCATCCATTAAGTTGAATGGGTCTACCTCTGGTACTTTGATCCTTTGCATCAAAAATTATATATTGACAATATTATAAGAGAGGGTGCAGTATAATTAATCCATAAACATTTTATTCTGAGTGATCAATATTAACTTTCCATAAAGAACTTAGTTTTACTCCTAATTGATAATAAGTGCACATCTTTTGCAAGTCATTGTAATGCATGGGCAGATATCAATTATGCACTTATATATATATATATGCATATATGTAAGATTTTAGGAAAGAATAACAAGAGGGACAGAATGAGAGATGTCTGATCCATCCATCATTGTTTCATATCTTTGAATGATTTTAGATGTTCGTCTACATTGGACATTATATTGACTTCATATAAGAGTCGATCACTATAATCAATCCATATATTTCATGGGATCAAACCACTTTCTGTAAAGATCACATATGCTTTCACTCAAATACCAGTCAGTGCACATGCAACTTTCGCAAGTAATACATAGGCAGATATCAGTTATATCTGAAGAAAAAAATAAAATAGCTATCAACAAAGTGATTAAAAAAAAGAAAATTTTAAATATGATACATATAATTTACTTACAGTAAATATGAGCAATACTAATTAATCATATTTTGCTACAAAGGCTGTATGCAAAAGGAAATGGCAAAGGTTGTAAAATTGCTCTGTGTTACATCAAGCTCTGTGTGTGTGTCAGAGTTACAAGTGTAATGGTTCGGGCCGTGGAACACATGGTTAGAGCACCTGATGATATAAATGCATTTTCTCCTTTCCTGTTACAGACCTGCCATGCCCTGGAATTGACAGGTGAAAGACCTCAGGGATGATGGAGGGCCAAAGACCTTTAAGGAGGGAGGAATGATGGTTAGGGCCGTGGATATATTAGTTGGTAGAGCACCTGACTAGAAACTTTAGCCATGCATTTTCTCCTTTCCTGTTACAGAAACCCCTGGAATTGCAGGTGAAAGTCCTGCCAGGGGCAATAAGAACTTGGGTTGTGTCTTCGAGGGCGAAGACCATTTAAGGAGGGAGGAATGTAATGGTTTGGGCCGTGGATACAAAAAATTGCATGTGTATTTTCTCCTTTCCTGTTACACAAGTAAACACATTTGTATATGCATAAATGTTTACCTCAGTAATACATATCTGATCACTGATCATATTATAAGACAGAAACTTTAAATAAAAATAATACATGTATTTTAAGCTCCACAAAAAATTGCATGTGTACTAGTGTTGTTGTTTTTTTTAATCACTCTTTTTTTTGCTTTAAGAATTTTGTTCAATGAAGCTAAAGTAAGGAAAATTCAAAGCAGAATTTTGTTTTTGCCCGAAAGAAAAAATAGGTTAAACTGCGTATATCTCCACGTAATTGTGTACTATATCAGCATATCGACTTTAAATTCAATTGATAAAATGCGCATGACTTTAAAAGGAGTAATATATTTTGGAAATATTATCAGCTAAACAATCTAAAACTCTATTTTTACCCTAAGATTTACTGTTCAGTGAATTATGGTAGTTTATGTCAATCTTTGATAACATTATGTCAACAAGGTCTTTTTAGCTTGTCTTTTTTATAGGTCTAACTTACTGGGCCTTTTAATTCTGACAGTTCTGAAGTACATTTGTAATGCCTCTCCAATCATGCAATTAATATGGAAGTTTGTAAACAAAACATTTAATATGCTTGGCATGCCTCAGTCTTTATGTTTTGAAAAAGAAGGCTTGTTTTGACTGAATGTAGAGATTTTGAACTTAAATTTTGTGATACATGTATGTCATTGGATTTTTTATTCTTTCTGAGAATTAACTCCTAATCGTTCCTATGTAGAAGTAAGTTCATTTTTTTTAACGATCAAATTTACACTTCTGAAATTTAAATTTTTATATTCTTTAGAAAAAAATAACGTCTTATGATGTCACATTACTTTTTTTTCTATTAGGACATTTTACTGTTGTAATATGTATTGGTGATCATGAGTCACAATTTTTTCTAAGGCAGTGATATTTTACATGGGTAATTGAAGTTTTCTTTATTTTATTGTCAGAATCTTCAATATTTAAAAGAAAGAAAAAATCTCTTTTTATAAGCATTTTAGATGGAAATGGTAATCCCCCACTCCACCCCTTCTCTCTTCAGCCTTAGCATCGACACTAATTGTTATCTGACATATAAAATAACAACAAAATTTAAATTTTTGCATTGCTTTCAATGTTAATAATTTTCTTAAAATTCTTATCAATAAAATTTTTCTCATTTTCCAAGATAATGCTTTAGAATTATATTTCCCCTTTTACATTTAACATGTTTAATGAAGTCTGTTTTACCCTGTTGATCTTGGATTGGCTAATTTGTAAGCAGCGTGTTTCATTGATATTAGTCTAATCTATGGACACGTATTGACAGAGGCCTGTCATAATCATTCAGTGTACCTGATCCGATGACCCCCGCTGTCAGTCAGTGTCCTATGTACCTGCTTGTTCAGACGTTTAACCCCTTTGTCCTGAAAATATTCACCCCTTTTGATATCAGATCACTGTAATAGCTGGCCTACTGCCGAAGGTGGTTATGATAGAAGCACAATGTTGAATGAAGCTTAGGAGGGAAATTCACTCCCAGTCTCTGTTACTCCCAAAAAGTAGCCTAGAGTAGTCATTTAACCATAATTAATTGATTTTTGTTCTTTTTTGCTTTTTTTTGTTTATTTTCCTGAGTTCTATTTTACTACAGGTAATAGTCTAAAGAGTCTAACTGCCATATTGCAATGAAGCTTTAAATTAGGAAAGTTCGATTCTGTGCTTTCTTTCCTCTGACAGAGCTTACATTTATTGGTTGGGCTTAAAAGTAAAACAGAGCTCTTGTATAATAAAATTATAAAAAAGAATATTTAGTGAACTCACTGGTATTTCCCTATAATGTTCAACTCACTGGTACTTCCGTATAACATATAAATAAGGAAATAGGCTGGTATACAGTTACCTCAATTTAACCTTAATGCATTGATTATCAAGTTTATGTTTTTTCAGTCTGTTTTGCATGGAGCTAAAGAAAACACTTCAATAGCACTTAAGGACCCTCTTTATTTGCGGTTATTTGTTCACATAATAGTAAATATAGAACAAGAAAGATGTCAGGGCCACGTTGTTGCCTTTAAAGATACTTTAATCAAGATAAATGGTGTCAAATGTATGAAAATAATGGGGAGGGGGGAAAATCGATGAATTAATCTTTCATTATATTTTTGATTACTTTATCGCCATTGCTCTTTTCCATTCAGAATTCTCGAGAAATCACATTTCAAAGAATTTTCTAGAAATTTGTTTCTCTCTATATGAGCAGAATTCAATGATGAATTCCTTTATTAATTAGGGTTACTTTATCGCCTTTGCTCCTATCCATTCAGAATTCTTTAGAAATCACATTTTAAAGATTTTTCTGGAAATTAGTATCACACATTGGCTGCTGAATTCAATGAATAAAAACTGCGGAATTGTAATGCTGCTGAAAATGTGACCTCACATAGTTTGGGTTTCTTTTGTAGACAGGTACATATATTTCGTATCATAACTCTGGAGAAATGCTGGATTGTTTTGTAAACACTTACTCATTACACCGATGTTAATTCTGACAAAGGATGATGGGATAAACAAGCTCTGTGTTGATATATATACAGGGAGTCTGCATATTTAGGATTTGGCATATATATGCACAGAAAAAATATTTGACGACATAATCGGGCAAAATATCACACATAATACAAAAGAATCTTTACTTATATGGTCTTCAAAATTTCATATCAAAATGTTGTAAATTGGTATTAATTTTGACTGATTTTTCAGGACATATCTTTAAGTCACGGAGCAGCAAAATCTTCGACGTCACAGGCATTATAAAAAATATGTGATTTATCTCTATTTTCTCAACTGTACATTTTTCCAAGAGTACCCGCACAGTTTGAGTTACCTTATCTACTCAACATCCAAACACCATTTCTTGTCAAGCTCAATATCTATTAAACAAGTAAAGAATATTCATTTTTTTGTTTTAAAATCAAAAACTGCAGGTACTTATGAGATATAGTGCGATATTAGTGACTCTCAATCACGTTCTTCAGAGTCCGGAGAAAGTTTTCGTCGAAAATTTTCTTACCGTCCTCCTGTATAGCTTTTTTACAGAGGTCTAACGGTCTAAAGTTTCAATTTGCTATTTGTGGACGAATTTCACGAAGACCCTAGTTTACTACTTGTTTTATTATGCATACAGTGTGCATTTTTGATCTACGTTGGCGATATTTTGAGCATATTACATTTCATTTTGTGAAAAATTATATTTCTGTTAATACTTCAAATATCACGTCAGAAACCTAAATACACAATAACAGAACAATTTAGAGATACATTTGAGAAAATTGTCGAAAAATATCGCGATTTGTAGAAAATTGATGAGTTAAATTTTGGATTCTGCATGCCTTTGCTTCAAATTTTTCGTGCTCTGTACCTCTCCATCAGCGATATCAACATACCGATAATTTTAGTAGAATTTTTTTAAAATACAGAAATTTTGCCTAAAATTTATTTGAATCTTTAAGATACATATTTCTGTGAAATGTCATAACTATATGACGTCTGTAAAAGTAAATAATAGCTCAGTCCG